CGTATTCCATAGCAGCCATTGTTTTCCACCATCTTAGTTCCATTCAAGAGTTCTTAATAGTTAAGAGCCTCTAAAGGCCTTTGACTATATTTGATTCATTATACTGAAATAATTTATCCATTGTCATTATACCATTTACGGAAAACACACCTATTTATCCACTGTACCTACTTCTATTCAACACCCCCTTTTACTATTTTCTTTGCTACCTTACTTCGTAATTCTGCTGCTTACTCAGAAAACAAACCACAGAAAATTATCAGAAGTGGGTACTCTAAGGATCAGTTAAATTCAGTCTGGATTAAAACAATATTTTTAATAATGTTGATATTGGTCTTGTGGGTTTTCGACTTGTAGGTAGATACTGACGTTTCGAAAGAACATACTGAATTCAGCTCTGACAATGGAGTTCGTATACCCCTCCGAAACGTTGGTATCTACCTACAAGTCTACACGACATTACGCCCGAGAAAATCAACATCTACATCAGCAATGTAAAAAAATCTCAAACAACCATATCAACAATCTTATACCAGAAGAGCAAATACCAACTAGTTCAGCTGTACGAATAACTTCTTGCATAACTCGTGCTCTGAAGATTCTTGGATAGGATAAAACCATTAACGGCCATAACTAATTTAAACAAATTCTGATGTCACGTGACATTTATTTTCCATGTCACTCTACCGTCCACCAGAAAATACAAAGCATTAGATGAAATGTAATCCCAAGTATGCAGAGTTAAAATTCCGACCCAAAACGTGTAAGGTCAAAATCTAAAATATAATTTATTCTACTCACACATTCATAAATCCGCCCATCAATCAACCCGTAACAACCATCCATCAAAAAGCGTACAAATTCATCACTCAATCCAACCATAACCATTCATCCATCCATCAATTGACCAACAAACAAAATATTAATCGATTCATCTATCAACCCAATATTTCACACATGCTGAACGAAGAAGCCACAGTGAGCAGAGATTTGCTGGTGGCAGTACTGACTGATGAAAACAGCTCACAAACCAGCTCGTCTAATAGTATTTAATAATTCAGTCCATACCGCAAAGAAAACACGACACTTCACCAATACAAAGATCAACTGGCTGTTTAAGGAAATAATCTATTTTCACACTGAGACTCGTACAAAATTGATCATACTAAACGCAGCGTTACTGATTATTACAGCAGATGGTAAGTAAAGTTACCATTGGGCTTTAAAGGGTTAACCTTAAAACAGCCAACCTATGCCTTCAAATTTATGTCAGGCTTACACAAGTTTCCAGCGATTCTCTGCCCTGAGTGTATTACCTGTAAAGTAATCATCAATTATTCCAATACATTATAGAGATCTATTTGCTGTAAAACAAACATACATGTTATATGAAAATACTGAAAAGTCAAATTACTGTCTCCCATTCCACTTCAGAAATTTTAGTGTTAAACACGTTTCCTGATAACTCAATTTCATATACGTGGTATGCGAGTTCAGAGACTGAACAATCAGCTAAAACGCTTGGGAGGAAATGTATCGTCGAAAAGCTGAAAAGCGGAAGTGGGAAATGATTTTTACCGATGGTCAGATGGTCTATATCGACTATATCGAACTGATGTGTGGCCGCTTGGGGGGGGGGGGGGAGTCCCACTAAAAGTTAAAGACTGAGTTTTAATATTCCCCAGCGGCGAGTATGAAGGCGCTTCTCTTCCGGAATGTTGCACCGTGCAGCCTGGTAGAAACTGACTGACGTTTCAGAGGTGCATACCGCCTCCGTCATAAGTGCGATTTCCCTGGCAAGGTTTTACCTGAGGACGAAGATAGATTCCAGTCTCCAGAAAGTTGTTTTAATTTAAAAAAATCAGGACGATGGACAAAGTCCAAGAAGTTTGTTACTGCACTAATACACGTTAGTCGTCATCCTATAGATTTAACGCCTTGCAGTCAAAGCTCGTTTTGACAGTCCGTACCGCAAAGGAAACACAACCTATAACCATTACGTAAACCACTCGGCTAACGATGTTTACTCACATGAAACCCATAAACACACTTCGTGGGCGAAATTCAGGATTGTTGATTAACAAAACAGGTGGAACATACAGTTACCATTAGGCTTTGAATGGTAATTCATATAACCGTTAAGAACCTGGTCTATATAGCAGCTTCGGGAATTGTTACTGTAAACCTACTATTTATTTTTTATCGAGAAGAGAGCTGAAGACAATTAAATTTCGAAAGTGTTAAAAATAAGGCTCAAGATATGGCCTAGTGCGGCCATTTCCGAACACGACAAGGAACCTTTGGGTCCCACAAAATGCGGAGAATTTCTTGACAAGCTTTTCAACTATGGATAACTCAAGAACGTAAAATCTACGTTACATTTAAAAGTACAAAGGCTGGAAATGCAGGCAGATGCTTGATATCAAGTACTGCCCGCACGTACCAATACTCAGTTATCCGATATTTATAAACATGAATCAACTCTAAATTTCGATATATCCATTTCACCGAATTAACACCGACAGTTTATGTTCGATACTGTAGGATAGGAGACCAAAGGCCAATGATAGCTCATGTCACTTTTATTATACAGCATTTATCATACAGAACGTTTAAAATTAAAGTATACAAAATTAATTTTTGCCTGTTTCATACAGGAGATGGGAGGAGACGGAATTTTAAACCCAGAGCCAACAAGCTCTTCCCAAATTAAACCTCATGTTAATTTCCTCGTGGATGTAATTTTTAATGATTACTGTCGTTCCCAGATATTTTAACCCTGTCATATTTAGAAAGCGTTTATTAAATAACTTTTTATTATGATTTTGTGTTACCGAGTCATGGAAATATAAGCCTTAGTTCACTCTACATTTACCCCTAAACCACCTTCATTATTAGCGTCTAATAGTTTACATCTATTACGAAGGACTTACAATTACATGTGTCCTTTTTACGACATCATGGCGTGGTTCATAACACGAACAGCATAACATATTTTCTCGATTTTAAGAAGCGTCCATGATTTAGTAATAGGTCTTCAGGGGAAAAATACGTATTATTACAATAGCAGTTGTAAATTTTCAACACTTCCGGAATTTTCATTGCCACTATCTTTGTGTTTAATGTCCATAACTAGTTTTAAAAGCATTAAGAACCTCTTTGAACTTTACACATAATTCTTTGACAACGATTCTTAAACGCCAACAAATGTAAGACGAACGCCACTTCAAAAATTCTAAAATGTAAAAAAGTGCGTCTTAAAATCGAGTAAATCCGGTATTAAAAGCAAGAACAAATAATTCTACCAACAGTTATCCCCCCCCTCAAAAAAAAAATCACTGATAAGATTGAAAAATCAAATTAACCTAATAGACGCTATTTTTTACTGAGAGGTAAATATATAGTCTTATTTTCGAGGAACAGGTGCCATGTATTTCAGATTAAGTTACATAAGTCAATGCACCAGAAGAAATAAGTCAGGCCTCAGGTCCATTACAAACCAGATCGTTTAAAGCATATACCTGCAATGCGCCTGTATATTCACAACAAACCAAACTACCCTCGCCAACAACACGCTGCTACAGCGAGACAATGCAATTGATTGCTAAATAAATCCTCACGTTGTCAGGGGAGTGACCAGGACTTATTTCAGGGGAATATCATAAAATTACGGAAACTGCTGTGTCCCCACGGCCAGACAGAAGCAGGTATAATCAATCGACAATGGTCGAAGAGAAATATTCTGCATAATTTACAATGACATTCCGTATTTCGTTCTAACTGCGTAAATGGAAATGTGGAATAGATTTTGTATTTTATTAATGCAGGGGGGAGACACTAGCCTGAAGCGAAGAATGGGCATTACAGTGACGCAGAAATAGAGATAAATTTAAATTATAAACGTTATATTTTATGCAACTATTTTCAATATCAGAACACTTCTGTGTGTCAGTGTTAACAAGAATAATTAGACCCCTTAACTAAACAGTGCTAAACCGACAATTTGAGGCTTTCGGGGTACGAATTTGGGTCACAGGTACAACGTGAGGATACGCAACCTCACCATCTTCAAACAGCAATTCAGTAATCCTGTAGAACAGTACAATCACAAACCGGTTCAGTATAAACTCAAAGGGAAACAGTCTGACATACAACAAACCAACTGCAGGTATTCAGCCCCTTTGATGGACCCAGGATCAGTACGGCATTCCGTTTAACTAGTGTGCTGGAAATCTAGACGCGTAGACACTATGGCGTTCAAAGTTTTCTGGCCTTAAATAAACATTACACTTATTATATGAAGCGAAATCATGATCCTCGCCCGTGCGTGTTAATATTTTACATTTAATTAAGGGATTTTGGACCTTATTGGATATTATTAATGACTGTGTATCTACTTCTTTAGATTCTCCCATCTTTCTTGATGGCTAATTTACTTTCAAAAATACATAAATTCACTTTATCCAGTAAAGAGACTACATACTAAGAGTAACATCCACAAATCAGGATCTAAATAAATAGACGTTCCTTTGTCTTCGAATGTATAGGAGATTGTACTAATATTATTTAATTAGATTTCTGCACAATTTGACTAATTATAAGGTGTCTTGCTATATATAAAATGTAATGATTCTGAAATTATATATATATATATATATATAGTTAATATCTTTACTGTCTTGACACACACATATCCAAATCATAAATCTGTATGAGGGATTTTTATGTTAAAATTTAAGAATACTGGGAAGTGCAAAACCTTCTCGTTATGCTTGAAAACATTCAACTAATGGATACTTAACACTACCAGAAATTGTTCAAATAAATAAACTGTTAAATTGTCCAGCTCAATTCTACTGATCTGTTTGCAAGAGTGAAGTAAATCGAAATTTTTATTCAGTAGCACATTCTACAGGGACATTTTTTTACCCCATCCAATTTCGACCCATAAGACAACGCGTGCCTGAAGTGGAATGAGTACAAGTCGAGAATCGACTTACCCTCTTTCTCGTCTCGTAGTCCAGTGCGCCTGCTACGTAGATGGCGCCAGTCATGTTCTTGACTGCAAAAGCTCCTCCTATGTTCCCGCTTGTGATCTCATATCGAATACGGGAGGCTGCAAAACAAACAAACAAACCAACACTCATTATTAACTTCACGTTAAGCCGACAAAAAAACCAACCACAACAAAATTAAAGTTGAAACTAACACTGCTGTACCAGAACCCAAATGTTACTTTATTTGGCGTAGGAAACCTATAAAATGAAACCTTCACGAAGCCACACACAACGAGAAACGCTAGAGGTTGAATTACACAAGCCACACACGTGTATGACTATTATTAACAGAATTTGCGCACAAATGGATAACATTGAAGCATCTGCTATTGTACGAAAGGAGTACCCATACATCGCTGATAAAAATGACTATGTATTATGTCATTCTTACCACAAGAACCACATTTCTGCCCTCAATGAAACCACAGTTGTTAACTGTTTACATCGTTAAAATTTTAATATTACCTTGTAAAGTAGTTCATTTACTGGAATATAAAAAGAAAACCGTGATAATACATCTGTCTCGTGACCTTATCCAAACTTCAATATGGTAAGTTAATTTTAATGTCGCAAATCAATTAATGTCCACCTTAGGGACACAGTAGTGTTGAAGATTCTGGTTACTCTGGTTCTCAACAGTGGAAAAAAACCTTCCTATTATTAAAAACTGATATAAAACGCTTTAGTTCCTAAGAAGGTTTGACGATTCGTAACCAAACGCTAAAACTTACTTGAATAAAAAAGATTAAGAATGTATATAAATCGTTAGGAAATGTACAGTAGAATTTCCCCAAAATAAAATAAATGTGAGACACCAAATAGTTGAACAAAAAGTTCAAAACCAGAGATGGATTACACAGTGACACACATCGGGCATGCAAGATTTTGTCCTACTAGACTTCACTTAAATTCGCAGTTACAAATTTCGGCCTTATTTCATTTTACTTACTATTACTAAATGCGGTTTAGGCAGTACTTTCCTCCGAAAAGTTGGTATCTACCTACACAACGTGTTACGACCCAAAAGAACACTAAGCACGTGTTCCACTCCCACACAGTGGCCGGTGGAATTATGGCTGGCTGACAGTTACTGTCATCTGCCACCGTCACGAAGACCCACTGCAGTTTCACAAACGTTTACATAAATACAATAGGCGAGCGGATACCATCCGCCTCGCTCCTTGCTTCAGTATGTGTGATCTGAGGCAGGTCCAGCCGAGTGCACAAACATTCCATTCCATTGTCAGTTCGGTATTGTAGGAGACAATGCAGACCACAGGGTAGTGAATCTGGAGATATGTTCATCTCAGATGTCGCTCGTACATAAATAATACAGAGCATTGTTCAAAGGTGCACTGGAGTCCATTCATTTACGCAATGCGTTCTTCGCACCCATGAAAATCAATTCATGCAGACACGGGTCTGTAATTCTACATACGAACACACTGATGTAAAGTCAATCACACTAAGAATTTATACGGGCATAACAGAACCATGCACGCTAGAACCAGAATATGATTTGGTTCATCGGGTAAAATTGTAATTTAAGGCTTTGCGGAAATGAATTCTACCCAGCGAGATTTGTGTTTCTCACAGAGGCGAATATTAAGATGGCTACATACACAATTCTTACAAACCTGTTACACAAAACTTAACATATCTAGCTGTAATGCTTCTTAAGATATATCCTCAAGGCACTGGAAATGAATTTCGGGAAGTCGCCATGTCTCAAATTCACACTTCTGACATGAAATTTTAAACTAAAATTTCTACTTCAAAAACATGAAAATATTTTAAAATGTCGGATTATATCAGAGTTGCGAAGAACAAACACGAAAATAAACTCAATGCGTATATCGAGTTGTTAATTTTTAGTTGCTGAGACGGAAACATCACAATATGAGCTCAGTTTCTAAGAGACAGACCTCATGTCTGATCACGTTATAGAAGTCTCGTGATAAGTTTCTTCCATGGTTTGAAATACGCAACTGCATAACTTTAATCCTGTATCGGATAACTCACACCATCAGAGCTGAGTCGGAGTTCTGAACTTGCTTCGTACCTTTCCTTCGCTTTTCTTGGAGGAACCGAGCAATTCAAAGAGAAGACAGGGGTGGGGGGAGTACAGAGTCTTGTCACAATTTAATTGTGTTAAAATGGTTTCACAAAATAATTCCCTTTCCATGCGAAAATTTCCTTGCCAAGTTTATATACATCCCTGTGGTGCTGACGTTTCTAAATAAGGGAAAACACGCCGAAATGATCATTAAGAAAGACGAAGCGTCGACATTTTGGTGCTGAGACTAGGTTGTCATGCTTACCAACCGTTGCCACTAAAATCTATTTTGAACTACTGGACGTTCTGTGCTGTATCACGCGACTTTAATCCTCAGTGATTTAAAAGTAAATTTTGCAAACGCATCACCACATTTCTAATTAATTATTTAAAGACAGCCTAGTTAGATGTTTTCTATTTAGCTCAGGACGGTCTATTTTCTTCCCTTGGGCCAAAAATAGTTTTCCCTTTGACTCAAAAGGCCAAGAAATCTCTCCAGCACTATTTTTGAAAATTAACAGCCAATGTTCGTTATCTTAAATAATACTGATTAAAAACTACAAATTAACATTTTATTAAATTGGGTACAAATTACCATAGACCTGCATATTATTTTAAATTTGCTTGTACCCGATACATGTATTTACCTGCTGTTCTTATGCAATTCATTCCAGTTCATATTTTAACATATCACTTCTTAATTAATTATATATTCTAATATTATCCCCTTTTACGTTCCATCCATGTATGCATACATCCACGCCACACTCTCCTCACGCGAGGTTTTTATGGCAAATGTAATGAACATTTTTTATTGCATCGTATGTAATACGTTTCTCGTCAATCACATTTTCCTATTATAATGTTCACTGATTTTAATCTAACCTACTGACATAATACAACGGGTATGAAACGTCCGATAGTTGCATTCGTGTTTGTGAAACGTTGTCGGATGAAACAAATAGTTTACAATATTACAAACAGATGTCCTAATAATGCGTATTAAATTATTTTGATACACTTAAATTAAATGCATACAGAGACATTTTATATTAAATAGTGGGGTCATTCGTTATGTGTCAACAAACGATACGGTTGGACAAACACGGCGAAGCTGAACAGATCATTCGATTAGTTATGAACAGACGTTTAACACGATTACATGAAAGTGGAATTACTGATTCATGAGTTGAGATATTTACAGCGAATCACTCCATGAATAACAAGTTACATCACCGACCAGTCACAGGATGATAAAAATCTGAATTAGTTTGGATTTTAAATTCGTCATTAAATTAGGAATGATAGGTCGTATAGGCGATGCTAATTTAAAAGAGTTAATTAAACCAGGCTCAGTAACACGTATATGAATCACAGTAATTAAAATAACATGCTGGAAACATCAATCAACATATCATGTGACGAATTTGATTTCTGTACTAGCATAGTATGACCCTGCATTCCTTTCAAATACGAATATAATTTGAAGAGTAACCATAAACTAGTTCTTTCCCGTAGTCATCACACCATGTTGTTTATGTAAAGCAACATATCGTGTCTGAATTTAGAGTATATACGTATCAAATTTAAACGTCACCTCTTGCAGCAAATCGGCCCCTAAGGACTTTTGTGTGGGGCGGGGGGGGGGGGGGGGGGGGACCGGTTTTGTGTAGAACAGTTATACAGTTCATTGCAATATTACCTTTGAAAATCTCAATGGAAGCACAGAGTTTATAAAACGCCGTTATGAAGTAAATTAAACGAGAAAACTTCACGGCGATTGAAGCCAAATTTCTGCCAAATGCACCAACACGATACCGATTGCCTGACTTCAGACTCCACACTCCCGATTCGCACTAGACCCATCCACAGATATCACCAGTCTTGTTTGAGGAGAAACTGACAAAGTTGGCAGAGCGTTAATTTCATGAACGAAATGCTAAAAAATATTAACAATTACATATGACCAGATTACGATAAATATTTACCCCTGGTGGTACGATCCCTCACCACCAGGTGTGAAATTATCATCATTATCATCGTCGGACAAAGAAGAGCTTTATAATTAGTTCTCTGCACAAACTTGTTTTTCGGGTGATGAAATCAAAGACGGAATGGACGGGACATATATTACACATGAGAAATGTGTATAAAATTAGTCGGAAAACCCGAAATGAAAAGAACAGCTTGAGAGACCTAAGTGCAGATGTAAAGATATTGTAGTGAAATAATAAATTTGCTTATTTCGTATATAACATTCCTAATAAACGTTTACTCGTGTGTACTAGATTAATTATCTACATACGTCAATGTACACTCCATTAACAATGTAAACAATTACAAGGCACTTTAACACCTGCTATTCCTCCAGAGAACAGCGGTGACCTACATGACGGACCGTTGCCAGTTCCGGTTCTGGCCACATAACCGTTCAATTTGGCTGGACTGTGACTGACACGCGGGATATGGTACAATGCAAAAAACGAACACATATCAATTTCTAAAACGGATGTGACGTCACGCTTATTTTATATTATGTATCACCGTGGTGCCGCCTAGTTATAAATCTTGTAAATACAGAACAGATCGCTCCTTGCATTAAAACGTCTACGGAAACCCAGCGACGAATCAGCAATGGACACAGATCGTTGTATGCATTATAACATATATGATCTCATTTCGAAGAAGTTTAATATGCAATAAAAGAACGCATAGAGTTGCAATTCATGACACAGAAATGCCAGTAAAATCGAAAACAAGACATGCATCAGCCCTTCCTGTTTCAGCCAGCAAACAAATTGAATTTCCAGACATGTTCTCCGAATAACGACATGGCCCTCATGTTACGCTCCCCTTCGCTGACGACTGCACGTCTCTGCGATATTTCTTGAATACATACTAGTAACTGAACGAGTCCGTACCAAAACAGACAAAGAAGGGGTTGCACTTTAAAGCTATTAACCTTTAGAAACCAAAGTAAACAGATTTTATGATGGCTGCCGA